GTTGATAATTGCCTTCGAGTTGAGCACGACTCACAGCGACCCTATGAACAAAAGGCCTGAAGCCCCTCTACAACTATCGACATTTATCAAAGCTCATGGAGTTTCCAGAGGTAAGTTGTTTAGGAACTGGAAGGTATATAGGTTAAAGAGAAGTGTTAAGGATGACTCTAGAATTCTGGATGCCTGACTACAAGAAGGATGAACGAACCATCAACTGAGATTGGGAGGAACAGGGGTTGAGGACTCAGGAATTCTATTTTGGACATGTTAAACTGAGAGGCCTTTTAGATATTAGATGTGTTGAGTAGGCAACAGTTGGAGAACATGGGCTGAAATGATAAATGGAAGAGCACATGTAATAATATAATACACAGTTTTAAGTATAATAATACAGGATTTATATGTATAATCATATGCAATTTGTCTGACTGTATGTTTATCACTTGCCCCCTCTGCTTATAAAGTATACTCCATGTGGTGAAGAACTATGTCTGCTCACAGCCAGCATGGGACCTGGTGCTTAGTAAATATTTACTGAGCAAATGGCAAAGTTGCCCAATTACTCCCTCAAGAATAGCCATGGTAGCCTGACAAGAAACGGCCTCTCTTGCAACCAAGCCCAACCAGCCCAAAGTAGGGCTCAGGGACTGTCCACCCTAGCCTGGGATTCCAGAACGTAAGTGGATATGCCTGGCACATCACAGAGTCAGATATTTGGGTTTCAGCTCTGCCACATTCTCAAAGGGTGGAGCCCCGTAAGAGACTTGCCTGTTCTACCACCTCTATTTCTCTAGATGTCTGGGGGAGGGGCCGCTTCACTCATTTCAAGGGTAGAGATTTTGTTCTACCCAGGGTATATGTATAGGATCACACAGATAATCCCACCAAGGAAGTAAATATCCAAGTATTCTCTGAAGCTTGCAAGGACTGCTGGCACTTATGGGAAGAGGGAAGAGATTTACTGAAAGTATATTAAGACTGAAAATGGTAAAGCTTGAGTAAATGAAAGGACTATCGAATTCTTCCACTTAACATGAGATTATTTGACCAATAGACATTGTGTCTCTGCTTCACCCACCAAGTGACTAAGAAGACAGAACTAGGGCCACAGGATGGCATTACATAGCTTAGTATTTCAACTCAATAACTTTCAAGTTTTGAATAGTTGCTTCTGCGAAGATGATAAAGACTGATCTCATGCTCATGGGTATCCTTTCTGAGATATTGGAAACATGATCCAAGAGGTTTGATTATTAATAGTTCAATGTCCTGCTATTGCTGAAATAAAATTCAGGTTCTAGCTTCCTGTTGAGGGTTTCTTCCCACCATTCCAGTGATAAGAAAAAGTCAGACTCTAAGGGGAAGCTAGAGGAGTTCCAAGCAATTTTGGAATAGGTCTTACAACATAAAGCTATGCCCTTGTCAAAAAGTAAGTTGTAAATGTTACAGGAATGCCAGATGCATGCTGTGAGGCTGAGAAGGATTCCTTCCCTTACATCTAATTTCTGCTATTCTATAAAGGGTTCCTTGGGTTTGGACTTCACAGATAAAGGTATTCATTGTAGGACATATAGAACAGAAAGAATTAGACACTAGTAAATTTTTTTTAAAAAGTAGATAAATGTTTGCATGGAAAAGGCAGATGGTATGAGCTGAAGTCTGCTTTGCTTTCTGAAATCAACAAATATTGACTGCTTTCTTTGTACCAGTCTCTGTGCAAAGTGCTGAGTGTATGTAAGTGAGAAAGAGATACACAAGGGTGAGAACAAGACAGAACCCAGGTCTTTAAGGCTTGCCTTATAGTTGCTGATATAAAAATAAAAAAAGGAAAAAAAAGGAAAAAAAAAGAATGTAAACATCAAAGACATGTCTAATAACACAGAGTAGCTAATTGTTGAGTAAGTGACATAGATAATGTGTCTGCAGGTGTTCGCAGAAGAAGCAATCATATCTACTGAGGGAGATTGTCAGGAAAGGTGCTCCAAAAATGATGGAATCTAGGATTAATTTTTCTGTTTGATAAACAGAAAGGAAAACAGGCATAAACTGGTGGCTTAGATGTTAGGGAAGAAGAGAAGAGGGTGGGTGAGGAAAGAGAGGGCTGGGACAGACTTGAATAGTCCTGACAGATCTTGTAAACAGTGCGAAATAACAGAAAGCTTTTTGAATGTAGAATCATAGGTTCTGGAACAGGTTAAATTAGACTCTATATTGAATGAATGAAAATGAACTTGTCTTTGGAGGTGAGCCAACTTGAAACTGGAGGTGGATTTGAGTAGAAAAGGCTTGTAGTAGAGTGGGGAGGAACAGGTTTGTAAATTCTGCTGAAGAATGAACTAGCAGGCCTCACTGACTGGCTGGCTGAGAAGCAAGGAAAGTCCGCAGGGAGAGTTCTTCAAGGTATAAAGTTAGGCAGCTGTAAGAATAAAACAGAAAAAAAAAAAAGAATAAAACAGCAAGGAAGAAAAGCTGGTTGAGATATCTCAACTAGAGTGTCTGAGAGATGAGCCTGGGACTCAAGAAAGAGGTAATAGCTACAAAAGCTCAAGGTATTCTTAGTAGACCATTGTGGGACTGAATACAATTCCTTTAGCAAAGGAAGAGTAATGAGAAAAAAACCCCAGACTATCATAGGGAGCCAAGGGTGTGTTCACACCTAGTAAATACCTGGAGGCAGAGTGATCAGGGAGCAAAACTAGGAAAGTCTAACAAGAATGGAGGAGAGGTTTCAAGGAGAAGAGAAGAGTGTTGTCAACAGTGAAAAATGCTGCAAAATCAATACAAGCACATAAATAATAAATATTCGTTGAATAAGCGAGGGAAGGACGGAAGGAAGCAAGCAAGCCTTTGGGTTTCAAAATCAACTTTCCTAAGTTAGAAAAATTGAAGGTTGCCTTCAGATAAAGGGATTTTAATTTTAAATTTTACTCCATTCTTCCTTAAAAAAAAAAAAAAAGTCTCTTCCTCCCCAAGTCATCCTGTCCAGCATTCAGACATCCTTCCTTACTTCCTCAAAGTTTCCCCCCATCTTTCTCCTCCGTTTTCACAACCGAGCAACTCACCATTGGTGTCAAAGGAGACAGGAAACTCCAACTAGAGTTTCCACTTCATTAACAACTCTGCCTGTGGTTCCTCTTATATAAATGTTGTGTAGCAACCAAATGAAGAGGCAAGTGGGTTCTAGCCAGAGTTGTTCTACTAACACGCGGTGTGGCTGTGTGGCTGGCTGTGTGGCCCCAGACAAGTTGCTCAACCTCTCCGGATTTAGGCTTTTGATTTTAGCGAGGAGGTGATTGGGTCTATCTGGAATCTAGGCAAGTTTCTGAGGTCTCCATTCAGCCCTAAAAGTCTATGATTTTTTTTTTTTTTTCCAGTTTCAGAAGGACCTTGCAACACCCTGTGAGAAGGAAGTGGATACAAGCCCCAAGGTGGGAGGCTGGGGAGAAAAGCCGTCAGACCTCGCACAGGGCGAAAATCTAGGCTAGGAGGGGTGCACCAAGAAAAGTGAGAGGCGCTGCCTAGCCCCGAGTCCTAGTCGCCAACGAGCGATCCCCTTCCCAAGGGTAGAAAGGGTCCCGGTTAGCCCCAAGGAGATTCTCACCCCCTACCCCACATTTTCCAGACTCCCAGAACGGCTGAAAGCTTTAAAAAAGCCCTGCGGGGAAAATAAAGCTTTCTTTCCCAGAGTACTGCGCTGCTTTTTTGCAAGTCGACTTCAGGCAGGCACGATCTGCAGTCGATAATGACACAGTCTTTGCAAAGACTGCCTGCTCTCGCCCGGCTCGCTCCGAGTTGTGGGGACGGACGGACGCCTGGCCCGACGGGCTGGCGTCCGACCCCCGCCCGGGTGCCAGGCCCGCGGCGCCCTCGCCCCGCGCCCGCCTCCCGCGCCGGCCCCGCGGCGGTCTGCAAACATTTCCTGCCCCCACCCCCATCGAGCGCTTCCCAGTTGGAGCGACTTGCTCTCTGAGCCGTGTCAGCTCTAACAGTTGCCCCAACTCAGTTCCTCCCGCCACCTAGGGCTGCGGACTGCTCCCGAGCAGCCATCGGGGAAAGCTCAGGCGCAAGGACGCCTCTGGGTGGTCGCTCGAGACGCCCGGCCAGGAGGGGGAACACTGGCAAGGCGCCCGCACCCGTCGTTACCTGCTCGCTTGCGGGGGTGTCCCGGGGCGGCTGGCCTCTGCCGGCGCTGTCTCCCCACGCAGTTGCCCATGCTGGCTCCTCAGGCAGGCCCCATGCACCGGAGGCGGCAGGGTGGGCGGCTGCTCCGCGCTCCAGCCCCGGACCGTGGCGTCCCGGGTCAACGGCTCTCGCCGCCCGACATCGGGCGCTCCCTCGTCTTCCCCCTGGGGGCGCGCTCTGCCCCGGCGCCGGCTTCGCCACAAAACTTTGCGGGAGACAGGGAGGTGGCCGACACCCCAGCACAGTCCCAGGTGGCCAGGCCAGGGGGGCCCGCGACGGTGCCCGGCCGGAGACCAGCTCCGCTGGAGGGGCGGAGAGAGGGGGCGGACACCACCGCAGCTACTCGGGGCTGGCTCGGGGCTCCCAGTTGGGGCCGTCCCCCGGAGCCTGTCACTCACCTGCCTAACCCCGCCCCAGCCCGGCCCCTCTCTCTTCCTCGGGCTCGCCGGGCTAGCTCTGCCACCACCCGCCCCAGGTGCGCATGTGACCGACGGCACCGCCCCCTCGAGCCGGGCTCAGTTTTTTCATTGGCCTCTCTCAGGGTGCGTACCCGCCCCCTCTGCCCCACCCAACCAGGTGCCCGCCCCGTCTCCCGGGAAGCCCAGTCGGGAATTATTCGCCCTCAATGGCCCCTGCCAGCGTGCCCCCAGCCGCCCTCCCTCGCTGTGCCACGGCCCCACCCCAGGCCCCGCCCCTGAGGGAGGAGCCGTCCCATCCCTCCTTGGAACTGCTTGGCCGGGAGCCGCCAGACACGTGACCTCGGGAGCGCCCCGCCCCCTCCACCATGGCCCGGTGATTGGCTAGTGGTGCACATGCGCAGAAAGACCTGCTTCACGCCACCACCTCTTTCCCCTCCCACGGCCTCTATTTGGCGTCATGGCCGCTGCCGCCGCTCTGGAGGCGGTGGCGCCTACGGGCGCTCTGTGGGGCCTCGTGCACGACTTCGTAATGGGTCAGCAGGAGAGTCCCGCTGACCAGGTGGCTGCAGGTATGGCGGACTGCGCCGCGCGGCTTCCGTATTGGGGGCCTGCACGAGGGAGCGGCCTCAACACAGGCGCCGGCTGGGAAGGGGCTGAGGAAGAGAGAGGTGACTGTGAGGCTGGTTGAGTGCACACTGCGTCCTTAAGAGCTGTAATTGAGATGAGAGTCTCTTGCATCTTCTTTACACTCATCTCGCCGGCAGGTGGGAATTAGGGTAATGATTACCATTTCACAGATGAAGAAACTGATGCCCAGACTGCAGACGGGAGTTGTGCAGGACGCAGGTTAGGCAGGCGGACGAGCTGGGACTTGGGTTTTCCCTGCGAGGTTGACGTGAACGATGCTTCTGCTCGCATCGACCGGGTCGCAGGGGATCTTGGGAGCCGCGGGGCGATGTGCATCTCTGACTGGCTGTCATGGGAGAGGGGAGGAGAGAGATCTGCCTGGGGCCAGTTTGAGATGCTCCGTCTGGTTTCTCGATAAAGTTTTTGGTTAATTTGGCTCACGACTTTTTTTTCTCGCGGTTTTTGTGTTTTCCATGGATGTCCCAATTCCTACTTTTGACCTGTTTTGGGGATATCCTAGTTGAGACAGCTTATCTAAGATTGGAATAAAACAAATTGTAGGCTTCCTTGAAATTCTGGCTTTACCCTTTTAGAAAATGTGCCTATCAGAAAATCAAAAGACGCATTGTATTAGGTAAATCTGCTGTCAGGGACCTTTCCAGAGTACTGAGAAGCAGTGATGTCAGTCTAGAGACTAAGGTGCACCTTATCTGTCCATCGTCTTCGCAATTACTTGCTATGCATCAGAGAGCTAGATAATGACTAAAGATGATAGAAGACTTGATGCCTTTGAGTTGTGGTGCTGGAGAAAAGTCTTGAACATATCATGGACCGCCAAGAAAACAAATAGGTCAGTCTTGGAGAATGTGAAACCAAGTTTCTCCTTGGACGCTAGGTTTTGAAACTCTGTCTTACATATTTTGAGCATGTTGCCAGGAGGGACTGATCCTTGGAGAAGGACATCATACTCAGAACGGTGAAGCGACAGAGCAGGGCAGGAAGACTCCAGATGAGATGGATTGATAACCGTCTCTAGGGAAATGAGGGTAGGTGTGTCGAGTCAGTGAGACTGGCTCAGGACAGGGCAGGCTTCAGAGCTATTGTACATAGGGTCTCTATGAGTCGCAGACTCTGCCACACTTAAGGAGAAGAAGAGGAGGGCTTCAGATTTAGAGTTTAAGTAACAATGCAGAGTGGATACAGATGAGTGTATATTGAAGTATTTGTATTTGGAAATCGTGTATGCTTTGGGAAGGATTAATGGACATTATGTTTCCCTCAGAAACTGAGGCATAATAATTTTTAGAATATGAAAGATGTATGCCAGACATAAGAAATTTCCTTGGAACTTCACACTTTCATTCCAACATTCCACCATTTTGAGCACATTACCCAAATATGATGCAAAGCAATGTTGTGGTCTTGTTAGGTGCCCTCGAGTTGTAGATGACTCATAGCAATCCTATGAACAGAAGGCCTGAGCACAGGTCATACATAGAGTTTCCAGAAGCAAGCCATTTTGGAAGTGGATGCTGCTCCTGCTTCCAGGAATGCAAAGCAATAGGAGTATAAATTAGATTTGTGACCTTCAGGAACTAAACTGTGGTGAGAGAGACACCATGTAAATAGGTAAGTAGAATAGACATGAAAAGGGCTCTCACAAGTGTAATGAAAGCATCAAGGAGCAAATGGAAGCCCAGAGCTGCTGTGCCACTAAGCTTTAGCCAGTGCTTGTGATGTTAACATCTACTGTGCCTTTTCAATGCCATTTCCCCCAGTGTTTAATTATGGTTATAAAAATTTTGTAATGAACGTTTTATTAATATTTTTTTTTGTTACGTGCTGTTGAATCACCTGTGACTCAACCCTGTGTACAGCAGTCCTATACCCTGTTCTGTCCTGTGCCAATCTTACTGTCTCTGACACACCTATCCCCATTACCCCAGGCACTGAATCAGTCCACCTCATTGAGGGTTTTCCTCTGAAAGTATATAGCAAAGTAAAAACTTCTGTAAGGAAAGGATGCACACACACACACTCACCTGGAGCCTACATTTTAATATACTTGCTTCATCACAAAATTATACATCAATTAAATTTTAGATATTAGGGCATGTCCCCTTAAACAGTTCAGCCTACCTTTACAGGTTTTTCTGTTTAGGTGTAAAACTTCTATCCAGTGGTGTGTACAAATTTTCAGTATTTACTCCTTTTGACTAAACATATACTTGTGCTAACCAAACCTGCCCTATAAAAATATAGAATATTTTTTTATCAGTATAATTTTAAACACTCACATTTATGTGTTACAAAAACAGTAATTTGCCTTTTGTCAGACTCAAAACTCAAAGATGACTTTTTAACTTTTTTTTTTTTTAAATGATGACATCTTGATGAGAACTGTGCAGGTTCTTATTAATGTGTTTGTAAAGTTTTTCTTTTTTAAGCCTGGGTTGGGGGAAGACCTGAAATATTTATTGTCTAGTTTAAGGAGTAGTAGTGTCAGAAGTGGGATTCGAACCCACGCCTCCATCCGGATACCAGAATCCCCATGGATGGCAAAGAGATTGAGATTGTTCACAGCTTCAGTTTGCCCGGCTCCACAGTCAACACTCTTGGCACCAGCAGCCAGGAAATCAAAAAACGTATTGCGATGGGAAAGTCTGCTGTTAGGGACCTCTCTAAAGTACTCAGGAGCAACGGTGTCTCTTTGGAGACGAAGGTGCGCCTGATACAGGCCATGGTCTTTGCAATCACTTGTTATGCATCAGAGAGCTGGACAATGACTAGGGAGGACAGAAGGAGAATTGACGCCTTTGAGCTGTGGTGCTGGAGAAGAGTATTGAATGTACCATGGACTGCCAAGAAAACAGATTCATCCTAGAGAGGGTTAAACCAGGCTAATCCTTGGAGGCAAGGATTCTGGGGCTTCGTCTGACATACTTTGGACATGTTGCAAGGAGAGACAGGTCTTTGGAGAGGGACATCATGTTGGGTAGAGTAGAGGGACAGTGCAGGAGGGGAAGACCCTCTATGAGGTAGATTGATTCAGTGACTGGGGTAATCGGGATGGGTGTGTCGGAGGCAGTGAGATTGGCACAGGATAGAGCAGGGTTTAGGGCTGTTGTACATAGGGTCGCTATGAGTCGCGAACGACTCAACGGCACATAACAACAACAACAGCAGTTTAAGGAGCGCTGGTGGTATAGTAGAGCCCTTCTGCCTTGCTGTTGTTAGGTGCCATCTAGTCAAATACGACTCATAGCAGCCCGGTGAACAACACATCTGAACCGTGCCCTATCCTGTGCCATCCTTAGTGTCTCTGACATACTCAAGCCCATTGCCGCCGCCACTGTGTCAATCCATCTCATTGAGGGTCTTCCTCTCCTTCCCTGACCCTCCATCTTTCCAAGCATGATGTCCCTTTCCAAAGAAACCTCCTCACCTGCACATTGTCCAAAGTATAAGAGAGAAAGCTGCATCATCTTTGCTTCCAGGGAACACTCTGGCTGCACTTTCTCCAAGTCTTGAGCATGTGTTGCAGCCAAAAGGCCTGGCATCTCTGGTCATTCAAATCCACCGGCATCTCTTCTGGAGTAGGTTGGGCAGTGTCCTGTTAATATCTGCAGGCTTAGAAACCTATTGGAGGGTCTCTGTGAGTCAAAACCAGCTCAACTACAGTGGGTTATTGTCTAATTAAAACTTACCTCAGCCAAGACTCTAGTTACTAGCCCTGTCATAGTTAATCCTTTTGAAGAAGAGGTTAGTACAGAGGGGTCGTAACAGATAAAGTTGGAAAGTTTTGTTGGTTTGAGTTATGCATACATAACCTTGGATTCCAGACAGAAGGATGTGAATGGCCTAGTGTAGGTAATAGTAGTCCTTGTGGATCTTTGAGCAAGGGAGCTGTGAGATGTGCTGCTTCTTTTTTTTTAAATTTTATTTTATTTCATTAGTGTGTGTGTGTGTGTGTGTGTGTGTGTGTGTGTGTGTGCGTGTGTACACTGTCAAATCAGATCTGACTGGTACAGGAGGAGATTGTTCCTCCCTCTGCTGGATTTGAACCGTGTACCTCTGAGATTGCAGTACACCTCCTTGCCACTAGGCCACCAGAGCTCGCCATGAGATGTGCTTCTTAATTCTTTAGCCCAATTAAACTTCGTTAATGCTTTCTTTTGCTAATGGCATCTCTATGGCAGCTCAACTTGATGGCAGTCAAGGCAAGGGAAGTTTCTGGGGTCCTTTTTGCTGTGAGTTACTGAGCTTTTTGTCCTTCAAATGTGGGTGGGCAACCCAGAGGCTTAAACTAAGGGGAATAAGGGTAGAGCCCGCAAAGCTTGCTCCAGACAGTAACTTAAAATCCTTTAGGGCCCTGGGTCTGCGACCATAAAGCCTGTCTTTAATTGTTTTTGGTGAAATATTCTAGGTCGAATAGCCCTGGTATGTCCACTTGCCCTACAAAAGTAACTTGTGGTTGCTGTGAAGCTGAACACTGTGACACTGATGTGTCAAATGCGATAATGGTTACCCCTGGTGGACAGTGTTGGTGGCACTCCCCGGTTGAAACAAGCTTGGAAACAGGAGTGGCATCCACTTCCATAAATAGCTTGCCCTTGGAAACCCTATGAACCTGGGGAAAGGATGAAAGTCACACAAGTGTCGAGGACTTTCGTTCATAGGGTTGCTATGAGTCGCCTACGCCTTAACAACAACAACATTTTCTTTTACCTATAGTACCAGCCTCTTTCCAAACAGTAAATGCAGAAGAAACACCCTCTAGCACATAGACAGCTACCACACGATTTTGCTTTGCATTTGTGCTCTCTTGAAAATAGATGTAAGATGTAAAAAAGGTGCAAGTGATAGAAAGGAAATGGCCTGCTGACCTGAGAATTTAAAGCCTCTTAGCCACATATTCAAAGACAACCACTGCCTAGTCCCA